GTTGCTAGTTGGGAAAATAAAAGAAAAAAAAGAAGGTAAAAACACTTGATCCACCCTGAACAGAGAAATGTAAACTAACATTTAAACACAGGGTAACATTTTAATCTAAAGATTTACTCAAAAACAAACTATAAACATGACCTGAGAGGGGTAAACATACAAAGGAGTACTGGAACCACGTTTACATTCCCTGTCGTTCTGTCTGGACTGGGCTGATCTGATGTCAGTTACTGTTCATTTGATTGATTCACTGGCCGGGTTATGTCATACAGATGAGATTAACATATGTTAATTATTTGTAGTGACTAACTTTTTTTTGTTTTGTTTTATTTTGTTCATTCACACAGAGCTAAACTAGAAGAAGCTAACGTTAGATAACGCTAGCCGCTGTCTCTGTCGTCTTGCTCTCTTGTTTTAAGCATCTTAATGCTGGATAGTCCAGTACAGCCTTCGGTATTTTTTCTTTGAGTTTGGTGTAGTCCATTATTATTGTTGTGTCGCAAATAAAACTAAACAAGATTTGCTCGTTTATTCATGATGCTGCCCACATGGAGTGGGCCAACTCTCTGCTCAGCTCAATGTAGGGCCGGGATAGAGTACGCCAGACTGAGAGCTGCGGCGCCATCTACTGGATGAAGGCAAAACTACACTGAAATAATGTTTAAACAGATGTTTTCAATTACTGTATTTTTTCGGACTATAAGCCGCGCCTGGCATTTAAAAAAAAAAMCCGCGAACATTAGCATATAAGCCGCACCCCAAACATAAGAAAACAGTACACCCTCAAAAAAAGTGAATTCAACATCAAAACATAAAAAGCAAACCTTTAGGAATTAAAGTTCGGAGGAATACGGTTCATTTAACTGACCTTATTTTGGTAGTTTTCTTTAACAGTTTCTGGTCCAACAAAATGTCTCATTCATCGTCCTCCGGCGCACTGAAACCATCGAAGTCCTCTTCTTCAGTGTGGGAGTTAAAAAAGCTGAGAAAAGCTGCGTCACACAGTGGTATCTGTTCAGTGTTGCTTTCTGTGTCGCTGTCCTCCCGGGGTAATGCTGGCTCTGAGGCTGTGGTGCCCTCTTCACGTAGCAGTCCAGCCTTTCAGAACAAATTGGCGATGGTGGACTCATTCACTCTGCTCCACTCTGTTAGGATCCACTGGAAGACATCAGGAAATGACGCTATTCCCATTCGGCCAGTTTTTGTGAATGATTTATCCCCATCAGTCATCCAAGCTTCCCATTCAGCCCTGAGTGCTGCTTTAAATGCACGATTCACACTGATGTCCAGGGGTTGCAAAAACTTTGTTGTACCTCCAGGAATAACAGCAGGAATTGAGTTTGTTTTCCTGATGGCTGCTTTCATCGAATCCGTGATGTGGGCCCGCATACTGTCCAATATCGTGTCTGTCGAAGATCCGCCGTGTCGTGTCTGCTACTAGCTAAAACAAAATGGCGCTACACCTCCGGCTAAGCTGGCAGAATGGTCGCTCGGCTGTCGACCGGTCGACGCGCCGTCACGTGATTGTTCGGCGTTCGTTTTCTCACTGACCTTTCATAGTTCCCCCGAGAAACCCAAAGCCTAGCTGCTGGGAAAGCCCTCCCGCTCCAGCATACGTCACTGCATGGATTTCCTTCCCCGGAGAGTGCAATGCGGGGAAAAAAAAGCCCGCCGCTCTTCACTCGACATTTATCCACAAACTGGTCCCAGATTAAGCTCCAAAGGTTTTATCAGTCAGATTCCACCGTGAAAAATGTCTTGTTTTATGCCCTTTTATGAGTTTTTGGCCATTGACTATCTTTAAAGCGCTGCTTCTTGGTACAGCAGTCGGCTCTGGAAGCGATCGCTTTTTTCTTCTTTTGTTTTTCCTTTCTTTTTTTGAAGCGAGTGGTTGAAGCAAATGCAGCATAAGAGCCCCCTGGTGGCTGAAGAAAAAAATCCACGTATAAGCCGCACTGGACTATAAGCCGCATGGTTAAAAGTTCAGGTAAAAAGTTGCAGCTTATAGTCTGAAAAATACGGTAATAGAATGGAAGAAATTTTAATATAATAAACCATTATTCGACAGTTAATCGTAAGTCAATTAATTGTTTGCATCCCTAATATTAACGCTAAAAGATGAATATTTGTAGACTCCAGATCACAGCAAAGATGTTTGTCTCAGTTTAAATTAAATTTTTCCTCAAATTTATAAAGAAGTTAATTCTACAAAATATTTTAACAATAAAGAGGTGCTTTGTCTGTTTGGATGTGCTAAACTTTTATCTTTAGAACTATACTACTAACTGAACTGTGATAAATATAATTCATAAATGATCAAATATGAAAAATAAGTAGTATGACTATGATTGTCACTAGCAATAGAAAACCTTTGACCATAATAGGTCACAAGTTTCCTTCTAGAATATCAACAGCTGAAAATTATTATATTTTGAGGAAAATTATCATACACACCCAATTTGCATTCAAGAAAGGCTCAAATTTACAAATACGTCCTGCCACAGCTCATAAGTGCTCTGTATTCGACAAACCACGTTTTTTTTTGTTTAAAATAAAGTTAAAAAGCACTGTATCAACCTTTTCAGTAAGAAAAGTAGCAAATGTTTTTCTTTTACAAATCTTTATTGTAAACAAGAACAAAACAGGGAGCCTGGGAAAATGCTGTACAAAATACAATGCTGTACAAAAATAAATCTTAGATAAAATGACTATAATAAAATGTAAATTAACAAAATAGGTCAAGTTAAAATGAAATCAGGAAAAGAACAAGTTATTGTAGTTTATTGTGCTTTTGATTAGTCAAGAAATAAATTGAGTGCAAACTGAGCAAATGTAATCTGCAAGCATCCAAAATCTTTTTTTTCTTTAAAAAATAGCTTCTGGATGATTATCAAATGTAAATGTTGCTTATACCCCTCACCTTCTCAGTCCCACATTTTTCTTTCTGTTTTTACAGCTATTGTTTCTTTAAGTGCTACTATTATATTCATCATTGCTGCCACCAATTGTCATAGCCATAATGTGAGAGGGGGGGGTCTGGGGTTCTCCCCCAGAAAACTTTGAATGAAGTAGGTGCTGTTTCCTGCATTCTGGTGTATTTGCAGGTTGTTAAACATATTTTAAACTACATAAATAAACACTTTCATAACTATTTTACAGACGGATTCTTCATTCAACTCAATAGAAACATCCTTTTTGTGTTGCATTGGACGTTTGATTYTTTTGACCAGCTGGTAGGCAGTAGAGTTTTTATATGGTTTAAAAAATACTCCAGTGACTGCGTCATGGCAGCCAGCCTTCTGGTCTTTAGAGACAGTAGTATGTCAAGAGAACAAAAAATAAAGCTTCTTGTGTTGCACCTTTTTTAATTTTTATTTTACTGTCACAGCTCTAACCCTCCTTTTTATTATGGTTTGGAACAGGAAAAAAGACACTTAAAGTTATTTTATAGGGATCTATTTTAGCCATAGAAATATTTTTATTAACATCCCATCATGAATCAGTCAGCAGCAGCTTCTTACTAACATGATTCGTTTCAAGTCTGGATGGGATGGATATCTGTCTGCAGCAGGGAGGGACGCAGCGTGAAGAAGCCTCAAGTCGGTGCTCTGGGACTGGGAAGGAGCTCTCAGCAGCACCTGCTGTGTTCATGTCAGAGTCTCTATAAGTCTCAATAGCACCAGAAGAAGAGTCGCTAGATTTTCACTAGTCGCTTTTCTGAAAAACAGTCTCTGAAAACTGTAAATACAGCGACAAAGTCGCTAAATTGGTTCCGCTGTGTTCCRCAAYCCACCACCTCTCATGTCAGTGAGCCRTGTRTCGGGTCATTTACGTCACRCATAGAAACGGTCAAATTATCATATAATATGTTGTTGTTGTTTCTTTTTTAATTATTGATCGTACATCATACAGAGGGCAAAATTATCGTACAAATACGATAACTATCGTACAAATACGATAACTATCATACAAATACGATAACTATCGCACATCAAGCAACACTGGATGGTAGGAAGGGGTCGATAACCCTTCCTCTACAGTCACCATACAAGTCATTAAATTTTTAAATTACAGAAATAGGCCACTGTCATGCTTAATAGAAGTGTTTAACTGAAAGATAAACCTGAAAACTCATGTTTGGATTTTATATAACCTGACCTTTAACTCAAAAGAAAAAAGTACAAACTGAACTTGAACATTGATGTCAAAAGTTAAAAATGGAGTAAAAAGAGCTCATGGTGCTTTTACTTCTAGCAGACTGCATGTTTCACAACTTTTGTATAAAAATTACCGTGAATTACAAACTGTCAGTTGACACCTGTTAAAGAAAAGTCAAACTAATTAGCTAGTGTTTGTTTATTGCATCGGCATGGTTAGCTAGTTAGAAAGTGAAATGTGCCCATTCAGTTCTTTAGCAGACTCTTTAAGGTGGAGCTAGATAACTATTAAAATATAGCTAGAATAGCTATAATAATAAAAAAATACAGTCTGCAGTTAAAGAAATGCAAAAGTAGTTAGCTTTTATTTATTTATAGGCAGACACCTGTTATTAAAAACTTATTTAACTATCTCTACCTTTTAACGGTCTGATAACAACTGTTAAACCTCTGGTYTGAGAAAAATGAAAAGACTGTTTCCCCATTTTTGGAGTATAAAATGAAAATAATGCGTTCCCCCCCCCAATATTCCTTTTTGAAATGAAAACAAATATTGACAAAAGTACATTTTGACTCAGATGTGTGAAGAGGCTGTGTAGAGCCATTTTTCCTAGAGTTCACCGAAGCTATTTGCCGAAAATCTTCTGGTGGTAGTGGTCAGTTTTCTGATGATCCTTCGAGCTGTGTCCGCTCTTCTTAAGACACCCTTCATGTAGGCCATGAAACTTATTGTTAGACCTTAGATACCACATGAATATATTAAAATATCTAATAAATCATTCAATAGCTGTTGACTTCTGCTCACTAAACACAGTTGCATGTGAGCTTTTCCTCAGTCTATAATTGTTTCAACAGATAAATTTGAGACCACTTATTATGATGCATTATTGTATTTTAAAGAATAGATGATAATCATTTCTTGTGATATTCTGAACAGCTTCAAATAGTTTTCCTTTTCCTTCATAGGAAAGTAACAACATGGTTGTACCAGCCATGCAGCTGGCCAGCAAGATCCCTGATATGTCTGTCCAGCTCTGGTCTTCAGCGCTGTTGAAAGGTACTTACTGATCTTTTTCCTAATGCATCCTAACAACATTGATGTTTGATTAAAATTTCTTCAGAGCACTTCAGATAAAGTGTGAACGTTTCAACTTGTCTCCACTGTGATTAGACTCAACATATGCCTTAGGTTTGTGTGTATGGTTGACAGTACAAGCTGTGTTTTTTGTTGTGCTCAGACTTGAACAAAGCCCTTGGAAATGGCAGAGATGCCCATGAAGCAACACAGATGCACCAGAACTTCTCCCAGCAGCTGCTGCAGGACCACATCGCTGCCTGCAGCCTCCCTGAGCATAACCTCATCACTGTACGTGATGCAGATTTTAAACTGTTCTTTACATCATTACATTCCATGTCACWTTTCACCAGGGCCGGCCTCAGGCAAGATTTCAGGTGGCACCACTTGTGCAGTTTTTTTAAATTTCACTGCCAGGTTATTTTACATATACCGATTTAATATTTTTATCTTTGATATTATTTTTATCTTCAGAAACCAGGTTGTCCAATTAAACTAAATAACAATATAACTTATTTGAGACAGAATACCAGAAGTCTACCTCATTCCTGCCAACATTTGCTGACAACGAGGAACACCTGTTCTTGTTAACAAGCAGCTGTGGACTGAAGCAGTTATAGGGGGGTTCAGGGGCAAACTCCACTGAAAAACTTTGTAAAAGATYTACTCAGAACAATTTATTTTCCAGCAATTTGAAGCACATTTTACTAAATTCTTAGGATTAATAAAACAACATCAAATCAATATTGGATGATGGTAGAACACCGAAAAACCAGACTTCAACCTGAACTTTATTTTAAAGTATAATAGAAACTTCCATTATTTTTATTTTGTTTACACACTGAGCACCAGTAGTTAGTCTTGACTGCATCAAAAAATACTTTTATCACAATGTATTCTCTGCACTTAAGCCTGCCACAATAACAAATTTTGCTGGATGATAAATTGTGTCAAATTATTATGATAAAAGATAATATTCTTTGAAGACCATTTTAAACAAATATAAAGACACCACCTCACTTAAAAAGCTTACGGAAGTTGATGAAATTTACACAGGCTGACTTAGACCAGACATTAGAAACTGAATCAACTATACTCTTATAAAAAGTTGTAAAATGTTTTGTGCCCCCTAAATGGACGACACTTTTAGCATTTGCCTATGCTGCCTATACCACAGGCCAGCCCTGCTTTTCACTTTAGTTCTTCAGCTCATTCRCATACATGTGTTGCTGATTCATGTGCTTAAATCTCACTGTGTGTCTCTTACAGTGGACAGACGGCCCTCCTCCAGTCCAGATTCAGGCGCAGAATGGTCCGACCACCAGCCTTGCAAGCTTGCTATGAGACACCTTGYGTTACCAGTGATTATCGCCGGTAAATGATCACAAACTGTAAAACGATGCCTAACAACTTAATATCCAGACCTCTGTAGCTTGAAAGGATTTAAACAGGTGACAGGTTGGACCTTCACTTCACTTTGCTTCTCAAGATTTTTTTTTTTTTTCCGATTTGATTGCCTGTTATTTTTCATTTTAAAGTGGTAAAACAATAACACACTGATGGCTTGGACACGTACGGGGCACCAGAACAGGGTCAGGTGGTTGTTTAGGAGGACTGATGGATGTCAAGACTTCATTGCCTCGCATATAGGGAAGCCTTCGTATTTCCCTGGAGTTTGTTTATTTCCATTTATTGGAAAAAACAATGGGTTATAGGGAGCAGATAAGAGTAGATAAAATTAATTTATTCATGTTGCTATTTTTGTAACTGTTAAATATTTTACATCTTGCCTTTTTTTGTACGGATACTGTTTTTTCTTTCCCATGCATGGAAGATATTGTTGCCGACTCCCTTTACCATAGTTCTTGAGCTTGAGTTGCTAACTTTAAATTCTTGATCATTTTTGCACAAAATCCATGGTAGGAAATTTGGGGACTTAGGACTTTTTTTTTTTTTTTTTTGCAGAATATCAGTTTTAAGTGTCTCATTTTTCACATTAGCAGTGTTTGTTTGTTTCAGGCCATCCACAAGTTACCGTGTTTTAATAGATGCATTTAAAAACTAGTAGAATTTATATCATCACTAATACCCTGAAAACATTCAGATTTCATTAATGTATTTAAGTTTCATGATAGACTTCATGTATTACTCTTTTCACAAACCACATCAAGACTTGGAGCTTTTTTCAGACATTGAAGAAAATAAAAAWTTATTTTATTTTTGTTATATTTTAATTTGTCTTGATAGTGCTACTAAATGGTCTTTTCACAGTATGTTTGTATAAATTTGCCACTTGTTGAACCTTTTATTGTACAGTGACATTTTATAAATTCAATTTAGTAAAGTGTGATATGTATTTTAGCTATTCTATGTAGGTATCTTGACGCTTGGTATTTAAAGCACTGTAACGAGTGGACACACAGTTTAAGCTTGAGTACTAGCCATATTTTATCCAATGCCTCTGTTTTTAATTCTTACATTGTTTTCAATAAATTTCCAATAAAAGTATGATTGAAAATTTATTAATTTAATGACTTCTCTTTTACTCTTATTGTGTTATTTACTGGGTCGTGTTGGATTTATAAACAGACAGGTCTTGTTCTAGAAAGGCCCAGTGAATTATGGGGGATAAAAGTAAAGAAATGCTCC